GCTCACCAGCGCCGTCACCTGCGCCTCCCCCTTCGCCGCCCTCCTGCGCTTCCACCGGCACCACGGCCGCGAGGGCTCCATCGTGGTGAGTGCGGGCCCCGGCCCTTCCCCTCCCGAGGGCAGGAGGGGGCGCCTGCGGCTGCCCCGCCCGGTTTCCAGGGCTGAGGAAGCGCCCGTGTGGCAGGGAGGGGCGCAGAGGTGCTGGCTCTGCGCGGGGCTGCCCAGGGGTGACTCTGAGCCTCGCAGGTGACAAAGGTGGAGGAGCCGTCCAAGTACGGCGTGGTGGTCTGCGACGCGGAGACCGGGCGCATCCACCGCTTTGTGGAAAAGCCGCAGGTGTTTGTGTCCAACAAGATCAACGCTGGCATGTACATCTTCAACCCCAGCCTGCTGCAGAGGATCCAGGTAGGTGGCTGGCCAGCAGCAGCAGCCACGTTTTGGAAAGAAATGAGAGCAGAGGGGGGTGGATCTCCTGGGGTTATGTGCATGCAAAGCAGGGGGAAGCGGGGGGGTCAGTGTACTTCCAGGGCAATAGGAAAGGCAGCATTTGGTCACTCCAGCAAACCAAGCCTTGCTGAGGAGCACAGGGCTGGTAGGGACCAGTTCTGCTCACGTGGTAGACGCGTGAGGATGTTCAGCATCTCTAGGGTGCACGGGGGCTGAAAGCTGCCTGTTCACAGGGCATGTTGGTGAAGAGGAGGTCTTGGACTTGATAGGAAGGTGGCTAGACAATCTGTTCAGGTTCCTCCTGACTCTAGCTACTATGAAACTAAGGTGGGGAAGGCTAGGAATCTGGGAGCTGTGAACCCATTATCTTTAGTGTCACCTGGGAGTCCTGTGGTGGAACTGGTCTTGATTTGGCCCCATGTGTTCATCTGCAGCTACGGCCCACTTCCATAGAGAAGGAAATATTTCCAGTGATGGCTAAGGATGGACAGCTATATGCCATGGAGCTGCAGGGTAAGGGTCCTGTCATTCCCTAGACAGAGGTGGCTCCTCCCCCAGCCTTGCCCTGTCTCAGGGAAAAGGAAATATGCCTTCCTGGAAGCTACAGTGGCAAGTAATATCCTTGCTCCTTTGCTCTGCTCTAAGGTAAAGGAGTTTATCTTTCCTTTTGCCTCATTTCAGTTGTCAGGGTACTCTCCCCAAATTTATGTGCCTCTTTGTGTACAACAAAACTGGTGCCTCAGTATTAGATGGGTATTTCTTTTCTGATGGGCTGAGCTTTTGACTTAGCACCAGTTTCAGGTATATGGGGTGGGGGAGGCTCACCTGCCTGCAGTAGTGTCCTGGGGGTCTTGGGCTAGCCCTGTGGCATGTGTCTTGTGGACTGTCAGTATTGCTCTGTTCCTGCAGGATTCTGGATGGACATTGGGCAGCCTAAAGACTTCCTGACAGGCATGTGCATGTACCTGCAGTCGCTGAGAGTTCAGCACCCAGAGAGACTGCATTCAGGCCCTGGCTTTGTGGGGAATGTCCTGGTGGTAAGTGCTGGTGAGCCCTGCCGACCACTGCTAGGTACATCACTAGCCTAGTGCCTGTATATACCCCTTGCTCTTCTGGGCATAGCACTGGGGTAATAGGATACGAGTCCTTCACCATCCTAGTAGCTGGCCTTGGTGCTGGGGTAGTGAGCTGGAGGAAAAGGAAATACCTGTTTGCTCCTTGACCATCTGTGGAGCCACTGGGGGCGTTTCCATCCTAATATTCTCCATCCCCTTCGTGAATGCAGAACCAGGAGCAGAGTAACACTGGAGTGATAGCCTCCTATTCTAGGTTGCAGCACACAAGTTGCTTTGCTGCTGTGCTACACCAGACGATAGCTTGGGCTTTTTCAGTTCTGTTTCACTGATAGATTGGAGGCTGCTGTCTCACTCAGGGTACTGACCCATGACCCCACGTAGGAAACTAGCTGACCTGTCACACTGACCTGAGCCTAATCCACCTTTTCGTGTGTTCTGGCTGTGTCTTCCTATGGGCATCTGGGCAGTATTGTAAAAGCTGAGACAAGGGTGGCTTTTGACCTGATATCTGGGGGTTAGCTCCAGTGTGGACAGACAAGGTTACTGGTTGTCCACACCGGTGTAGTGATGCTGGGATGGAGGCAGTCCCCAGAGGATCTCCAGTGCACCATTCTGCATGACTAGGTGGTTTCAGCAGTAGGTCCCATATACTGTCCAAATGAAGCTGTGTCTTGGCTTTATGCATCAAAACTAGCTTTGTCTCTATTTTCCAGGTCCTGTTGCCCTGGTATCTTGTGGGCTCTTTTCTGCAGTTGCATAGCTCATAACAGATCTCTGCTTAAGTGCATAGTTTCTGCTGGGTTCCTTTCCCCTGATAGTTTGTAACACTGTAAACCCAAGCCCAACCCCTCAGGATGAGCAGGCAGTTACTCTGAATGGCTGAGCATTGGGCAAGGGGCAGGTGCAGCACAGAGTAGAACACGCCTGTGCTGCTCTCAGCCAGCTATGTACAAGCTGGCATACCTAGTCCACCACGTGCATGCAGCACTGCACCAAGGGACGGGTCTGCCTAAGGATGACCTGGGCATACTTGAAGGGAAGGTGGGACCCTAGGGCTAAGATTCTTCTCCGCCACTTGTGGACCCTTGTGCCTATCTGCAACATTTCATGTGGTAGTTGTCTCTTTTTGCCTGACAGTTGGTAGCCAGTTAATCATTCTGGATGCTTGCCCTGCAGGGGCTGTCCCCCAGCTGGCAGGCACTCAGCTGTGTACAGAGGAGAACCCATCTAGTAAGCCCATTGTGGCTGGCTCAATCTAGCTCAGGGTACAGGTATATTCAGGGAGTTACCTGCTAAGAAGGGGGGCAGGGGGGTCCTCTTTAGCATAAAGACACAGACTTTTTAATGGGCAAAATGCCACCCCAGTGGTTACCTCTGCTCAGCTAGTCTCTTGCCCTATCAGCTCTACCATGCAAAGAAACTGGGCTAGGGCTAGGTTGTATTGTAAGAACAGAGCATTCATTCCCTCAGCAGTACAGGCAGTCAAGTACTGTGGGGAAGAGGCTGAAGAGTGATGGGGGAACCTAACAGCGTCTGCCTCTCTGCCCTTCCAGGACCCCAGTGCCAAGATTGGCATGAACTGCACTATTGGTCCCAATGTTACCATTGGGGCAGGAGTGGTGGTGGAGGATGGGGTGCGCATCAAGCGCTGCACAATCTTGAAAGGCTCCCAAATTCGCTCCCACTCCTGGCTAGAGTCCTGCATTGTTGGCTGGAGGTCTTCCGTGGGCCAGTGGGTGAGTATTTGTGTAGGTTGACTTATGCCAACAGAAGGGGCTGCTGGCCCTGGCAGGAAGCTAGGTAGTGAGTGGGTTCACTTGCCAGACCTTGCCAGGCAGTGCTAGGGCAACTCAACAGGAAGAGTTGTGCAGGAAGCAGTGGCCAGATAAGAGCGCACTGGTCTTCTTGCCATCAGCCATGTTCTTAGTGAGGACCTGGCCTCTTCTCATGAAGGTTTTAAATACAAGTGAGTTTGGTACCCTGGGGAGGGGCAGCCTGGCATCATTCTTGACCGAAGAGTACCTGCATTGCTAAAGATAGTCTTCTTTTGCATGGCGGCGCAGTTGCTGTCCCCCAGTTCAGTGGTGGGGACTGGCTGCAATCTACAGTAGACTGCCTCTGCTCTGAAAGCAGCACTGTGCTAGATGCATGACCACTGCCCTGTCTTGGCTAGGTGCGCATGGAGAATGTGACAGTGCTGGGTGAGGATGTCATCGTCAATGATGAGCTCTACCTCAATGGGGCCAGTGTGCTGCCTCACAAGTCCATCTCTGAATCTGTGCCAGAGCCACGCATCATCATGTAACCTCCCTGGAGTCCTTGCTGCTGTGCCAGAACAGTCCGAGATTGCCAAGGACTCTCCAGGCCAGTGCACTGGCTGGATTAAATGTTTATAGCTCCTTGACTGAACTGACTAACCCTTCATTTCTGGCACACAGCCCTGTAAACGACCATTCTCTGACTAGGAACCATGCATGTTGGGACCTCTCCACCACTGCAGCCTTCAGTGGGCAGGGCCAGGCAGGCAGCTGTCAGCACCCACCCCAGGCTGTACCTTGTCCCCTCCCCCTTCCAGGACGAGCCATAGGCAGTCAGGTTAAAGGAGGCAGAGAATACCAGGAAGCAAGAGCCTTTGCTTGTTTACAGCCATGAAATATGGATGATGCTGGGGAGGTTAATGGTATAGGCCTGGCTCATACCACTGCTTTGTACTGCTTGCAGTACCTTGGGCAGGGTGCCCTGTCATGTAGGTGGGGTAACAGAGCTCTTTTTTAAGTGGAACAATACCAACTGCAATTACAACCTAACAAGTGATGGTGTGGCTCTGTGTAGGCTTCTTTCTGCTGCTGTTCCTGTGCCCCTGAGGTAAGGAGACTGAACTATCCTGCAGGAGCAGCTGGATGTCGATTTCCTTCATATTCCATGGCAGTGCCATGAAGCAGTAGCTTGTCTGCAGCTATATACAGAAGAATAATAATTTAATGCTCCATTCCATAGACACAGTGCCCCACCTTGGGGGCAAGTCAAACACAGTACAGATGCACATAACTTAAAGATCCCTACCATGGTTTAGTGCCTGGAATGAGGCTTGCCACAAATCACATGCTATTGCTCATTACATGTCACACACACCACACAGCCCATAGCACTAAGCACCACTGCAACTGAGCCCTAGGTCTGCGCCAACAGGAACAAGATCCCCTCTGTTTCCTAGACAGAGCTCCCAATAACAGCACGGGACAAAACCAGCCTGCCTGCTGAATGTTTATAGCCTGAGGGCTGGGAAGCTGAGGCTGCTGGTAGAAGGCTCTCACCTTGGACTATAGGATGATGACACTCTGCTTCTTACAGAAACAATGACAAATGAGATGCTAAACTCAGCACTATCCTGTCAGGCCTAGAACAACTGGATTAGTAATGACTATGTCCTCTACCCCCCAGCAACAACACCTGAGGCCCAGGTGCCATTGCCTTGGCGTGCTTGCTACGTGGAGTTACCTGCTAGCATTTAAGATCCACCAGCTCAAACAGGCACTTTCACCTACAAATGGTAATGGAAGTAGGACTGATGGCTGGAGAAGCAGGAGGAAACCAGACTCCAGCCTTTGGAGGCTGCTTTGGGATTAACCCTGCCTAGTTTAGACCTAGGCCCTGGGGTGGCTAGAGCTCCTGCTTTATAGAACAGGCATCCAGAGGAGGGAGGCCCATATTTCTGATTAGGCTAGCAGAGGAAGCTGGAAGCCATAGACCTCCTGGCTCACAGTCCCACCTCTATAAAGAGCCTACTAGCAGGAGAAGGAAAGCAGGCACTGTACTGGGCACAGGGCAGTGACTGGGCCTGGGTACAGTAGCCCCTTGGCAACAGAAGAGCTTATAAATAAACCAAAGCTGGGCAGTTGAGCCCTACGGTTAAGTGAAGTGAAAGGGGCCCTGAGGATCTGGCAGGCCCTGCAGTAGAGCCACATGCTAGGAGCTGGCTGGTTTAGTGAAGTCGTCCACACCTGTGATTGTAGCCTTGCAAAAGAAGCAGTCCTTGTTGTTCATCAGGTGCTGGTTGATGCAGGCTCTAGAGAGAGAAAGCACAAGCTGTTAGGGAGCAGTGTTGAGCCCCTCATTCCACCCAGATTGTTCCTTGGATGCTTCAGGACTAATCCCGATTCTAGTGCCTGCAGCATGTGTTTGGCAACTGGCATGAGCAAGTGCAGGCCAAAACAGGTTCTGCACTGGGCACCAAAGCCTTAGCCCAACAAAGACTATCCAAGAACTGCAGGTTTCCCAAAGGATGTAGGTCTGGAGTCTCCAGCCTCAGGCCACTTGCCCACAGCATGTTCTCCCTGTGCAACTGGAAGTGTCCAGGGAAGACTACTAGAGCTGCCACAAGCTCTTAGCTGATCTTGCTATACCCAGCCATCAGGGGTATGATGGGATTACTCACTTGCAGGATTTGTGGGTACATGGCCTGAAGACAGCAGAGATGGGGTGTGCATAGCAGATAGGACACAGATCCTCTTCACTGGTAGGCTGCAGAGGCAAATCAGAAGTGGGCAAAATGGAGGAAGCACCAGGGTATCAGCTCTGTGCATGCCATGGCAAGCAGCTTGAGCCATTCTCATCATGAGTGCTGGTGATCCTGTTCCTTTCTTGCCCCAGTTTCTGGCCCATGGCCATACAGACCTGTACCCAGCATACCTCCCTGGAAGTGGTCTTTTGGCATGGGCATATCTAGGATTTTGAAACGGAGAGTAGAGATGGTGTGGCACATTATCAAGGACCCAGGTTTTCCATTTGCCACAGAAACATGGATTTTCTCATTTAAAGAATTTCCCCATGAGTTTCCCCTTGCAGGCTGGCAGAGTTCCAGCCTGCAGGGGGCTGCTTGGGTCTGGCAAGGGGGAGTATGTAACAGCCAGGCAGAGGTGGAGAGCAGCTCCAGCAGGTTCTTCCAGGTAAGGTGGGGGGGCAGAACCAGGAGTAAATGAGGGGGCACTGTGAGGGCTGTGGCTTGGGAGCGAGGGGCAAAGGCACTGGCATATCAGGTCTGCTCAGCCCCACAAAGCAGGAGGTGGGACAGCTGCAGCTGGACCCATGCATTCTGATGAAGGGAGCAGGGGGACCTCTGATTTTCTATGATTAAAAAACCAAAATCAAACACCAAAATATATAGGTATTTAGAATTTATTTTATGATAATGATTGAGGCACTGGTAGGCTTCCAAATTGCTCTAAAATTGTAAATATATCAATAAAACATTGTATTCAGCTGAAACCTATATACATATAGTGGTGTTTCATTTTAATCACAGAAAATCACAGATTTGGGTATTTTTTAAATCAGAATTTGGGGGTTTTATCAGAATTTGTGATTTTTAAACAAAGAAAACCAGGATCCCTGATCATCACATATAACGCAACACATTTTTATCCAGTTGAAGAGAAACTACAAGCCTTACTAATATGCTAGGGGGTTAGCACTATATTTTTCAATTTAAGATCAAAGCAAAAACAAATAACTACTGGAATGTGCAGTGATTTGTTAGATTATATATAAAGTTTAGAAAAGTCAAGAGTCAAAAGATAGTGTCATCAGTCATTCTGGTTAAATGTATGTCTATTATTCAGATTCATTAAATAAAATCTAACCTTGAACATCTTGACAGTGCCTCCAATACTTCATTGAGTTATTTCTACACCACAGCTAACATTACCACATGTAAATTAAGGTTTTTAGCTAAAGCTAAAAACAGTCTGTAGGGATGTGAAATGGCAGAGACGTTACCAGGAACTGCTAAGAGAGCACAAAACTGTAGAAGAAAGGATAGTTTGAATAGTGGAACTTCAAGACCATTAAAAAGGATAAAGGGTCATTAATACCTGTGGAGTGGAGAAAAAATAACAGGAATCCAGGAGAGGATAATGAGCCATGAATCGCAGAATCAGAAGTAGACCCAAGGAACCAGAAACCATCTAGTCCAACCCCTTGCCACAGAGGAAGGATCCTCCCGATCCAAGCCATCACATACAATCCATAATTTAGTCTCTACAAAAGACCACCGTCAACACTGACACAACACAGACCTAACACCCTAACCCAGTGGTTCCCAAACTCTGGGCGATGACCCCAAATAGGGTTGCAGAAACAATGGATGGGGTCACGAGAAATAAAATCACTTTAATCCAGGTGTGGGCAAAATATGGCTTGCAGACCAGATCCAGCCCATCAGGCAATTTCACCTGGCCTGCAGGCACCCACCAACTAACTGTACCCTCCCAACCTCCACGCCTTGCTTCCAACCTCGTGTGCGGAAGGGCCCAGCCCAGCCAGCGTGCAGATTTTGGGCGGGGCTGCAGCTGCTATTGCTGCAGCTGCTGGGGGACCTGCAGCTTCCCTGGCATCCCACTCACTCCGGGCACCAGGTAGGGAAGTGGCGGGGGCAGGGGAGGTGCAGCTGGACGGGGGCAGGGAGCATGGGGTTGGTGGCAGTACGAAGCCTGTGCCCAGGGGAGCAGCAGGACAGCAAAGCTCAGGTGGGCAGGATATGGATGTGAGGGAGGGTGAGGAAGTGTGGGGACCCCCCCCACACTCTCCCCCCATGGAACACAGCCACCCTGGGCAGCAGCAGCATTGGCAGCAGCAGCAGCAGCAGATGCTTGTGGCCTGCACAGGCACTGCTGCCTTGCAGCGTGTGACTCCAGCTAGTGCTACATGTGGTGGCAAGGAGTACAGCCAGGCCCACCTGCCTCATTGCATGGGACTCCCCGCAGTGCACTTGCAGCTCCTGGCACTTGTGCACCACCGGGGGAAGCCCCACACAATGGAAACAGCTGCCTTCCCCCACCCCCTGCTATGCAAGTCCCTGGAATCTGCAGCAAGTGGAAGGGAGCCCAACCCCCTGCTTCCAGTGGAGTCCCAGGACCTGTATGGCAGGGGGCAGGGAAGGCAGCCAGCACCACTGCACAGGGCTTCCCCCAGTGGTAAGCAAGTGCTGGGAGCTGCCTGCGCACCACGGGGAGCCCTGCACGATAGAGGTGAGCTGGCCTGACTGCGCTCCTTGCCACCATGTGCAGCGCTGGCCAGAGCTGTGTGCTGCCAGGTGGCAGTGCCTGCACAGGCCATAAGTACCTGCCGCCTGCTGCTGCAGCTGACAGCAGGGTTGTGTACTATGTGGGGGAGTGTGTGGGGGGTTCCTCCCAACCACCCCTTCCCTCACATTCCACAAACCCCACACATGCACACCCTGCTCCCACACTCTCCCCCCATAAACCCCGCCATACTCTATTGCCCTGTGCCACTATGACAGCCAAGGTGAGGCATGGCAGCAACAGCAGTGTGGAGCTGTGCCCCATACTGCTGCCAGGAGGACAGGGGGCACCTCACCTTGTTGAACATGGCGCAGCAGGGCAGGGA